ATATATATTCAATGTATATATTCAGATTATTTCTTGGAAAAATGTAATCATTATCCATACCCTTAAACCCAACAAACAACATTTAGTTCCCCTCTAAGGAGGACAGTGAGTGCTTGAGCATTCTCCACACACCCTTCCTCGCTCAGCTGTAGTGCTGCTGCTGTTTGGGGACCACGCTGGAGCCTGAGCAGGACCAGTGTGGTTAAGAATAAATAAATAAATCACATTTTCCCCCCTCCACAAAGAACTGGTCTCGTCTTGAGAGCAGGTTGTGGAGCTGTGCCATTTAGTCCCTAAAAATACGTGTTTACCTGGTCCCCAGTGTCCTTCCTCCAGGCTGCTCTCAGGAGGTGCCAGCAGCCAGGACTGTAACAGGATGTTGCTGGTAGAGGCTCATAGTTAGAGAATTACAGAAAATTAGGTGCTTTTGGCAAAAATGTCAGAGCAGGTCAGTTTTAATGACAATATCCCTTCAAACTTTTTTTGGCTTGGGTTTTTTTTAGGCTTACCTTTGGAAACCAGCTGTCTTTTTTCTCTTCCAGAATACATGAGAGCCTCGATTACTTGGAGGGCAGAGCTACAGTCTTTCACTCCCATTATCTCTCTGCATGGGCGAGCACCAGTGCAGGAGCGAAGCCATCAGTGGTTCTGGGCCACTTCATCCTACCACCTGCCTGCCTGCAAGAAGGTCACAGGGAAAAAAAAAAAATCAGGGTTTGGCTCCCCTGGGGTTCCCCTGTGAGCACAGGCTTTTGGGGGTGCAAACAAGAACCTCCAGTTTCTTCTGCTGTAGATGGAGGGAATTTCCTTCTGGTGGGAGTGATTCTTCCTCCCCAGGGACAGAGGAACTAATGCTTCATCTTTTGTACTGTATTAGCAAGCAACACCATGCAGTGAGCTCCTGCCAGGGCTCCTGACTGCATTTGCTAGCACCTGTGAGAGGCAGGGGCTTGCACAGGCAGCAACTGCCGCACAGTCTCATTATTTGATGCTCTCATAGTAATTTATTTTTTGTTCATAGCAGAAATCAGAAGGAAAATCGGTAGCTTTATTTGGGAGCAGGCGGATGATTCACTTGCAGAACAGGTAAGATGAGAAATTTATACTACAGGAGGTGTAGCTTAAAAAAATATTGGTTGTATGAACTTCGGGGACCTTGGTTTTCATCCCAGACCCTCAGCCCAAATACAGGATCAAATTTTCTTGTGCTTGCTGTGCTGTGTGTATCCCTACCAGTGTGACATCCCAGGGGGGACAGCACCAGATTGAGCATGGGATGCACAGGAGGGATTTTCTCCTCACCCAAACAGACGTCCAGTTGACCTGGCACATCCTTCCGGGGATGCTGATTGCTGAGGTCTGACCTCAGCCCTTTCGTGCAGCATTTTCCTTCCCCGTGTAGCTCCGAGACACTGCCCACTTTCTTCTCAAAGCAACTTCTCAGTGCTTTTGAAGCGATAATGTGGTTAGATTTAAAATTGTATTCTAAATCAAGCTTGAAATCACAAGTCCTAAAAATACTGCGCTCTCGGATCACATCTCTAGTGTTCTGCAGGGTACCCAGGGCACAATTTTAACTCAACTCTGTGTTGATACTCACAGCCCAACGAAAATCTGACAGATGAACCGGAGGCAGAAATAAAAGGCTGTGAGGAAGAAGCGGAGGCCTTTTGTCCACTAGGCCTGGACAGAAGGTACACTCCTGCCCTTGGCAGTAGGATTTGGACGTGCCCCAGATTTCAAGAGATCCCCAACGCGTAGGAAGTAACACAGATTTTTTCCCCCCCAATATAGCAGCGAAGAAGAAGTAAGCTCCAGAGCACGTGCCCAGGGGCAATTTCCATACTGTGCCCTCCAGGAATACCCGATGAATAACATGGTGACAGGTAACGTTTGGCACTGGTAGACTTTTAAGGAGTGGAAAATATGCCTGAAAATGACTGCAGATGAAGCAGGGACCCCCCGTGTGCTCCTTGCTTCCTCCTGGTACTCAGAGCAGCAGAAACACTGAGGGTGCGACTGGAATCGCTCCCTTCTCTGTGCCTTGCATTTTCCATTGTCCTTGTTTCGTCAGAGAAAAGGGCAGCTTCTCCAGTAAGACCTGCACTTTCCCTTTGTAGGCTACACCTCTGCTCGTGACATGAAGAAATATGTCGGAGAGCTCCGTGATTTCATTCCTGGCACCTCAGGTTACACAGTGTACTGGATTCAGAATGAAATTAACATTTACTCTGACATGAAGACTAAAATGAAGAGAAAATTCTGAGTAACAGGTGGCTGTTCCCATCAAAAACTTCACTGCCAGAGAGCTATCGCTCGTGTTTGGAAATTCAATCCCATAGTTAGACACTGGGGTGCCTGCTTGCTCGCTCTCTACTGCAGATTGATGGTTATTTCACCCATCAGTCTGCATTCTCCCCATGTTTTAGTTAAACAGTGAAGAGATTGGTGGTATCGAGCTGCAAATTCTGAGTTAAAACTCTGTAGTACTTAGAGGATTTATAAAATATCCCTGCTTGGCTTATCCTGACTGTAGTTCAGTGTGTTCAATATATATTTAAATACCTGGCTACATTTACTGTAAAAATTTTCTTCTTTAAATAACTATTTAAAACAAATTCCACAGCAAACTTAAATATAGACATTTCTCCCCAAAACACAAATCCTTTGTCTTTTTATTTGTACCAGTGGATTCAAGATGTAGCTGCAAACAGTAGTTTTCCTTGGAGGGACACACTGAGGTCTCCTTGCAGGGAGAGGGGAGAAGTCACCCCATGGCACAGCAGCACCCAGCCATGGTACACGCTCACCAGTGGGACCCAGCGCTGTCATGGGGCTAGCAGGACAGGCAGGGGCTGGCCCAGGATCTCCAGGGCACGCAGGGAGCTCCGTGGGCTCGCACAGGTTTTGAGTGCAGGGCTCCAGGCTTCTCCTAAGCAAAACCCATGTCGTGCTGGAGCCGGTCACACAGGCAGGGAGGGAAAACCCATGGACCCTCGCCCAGCCAGGGTGCCCAGGAGCACTGCCTGCCCTTGCCAAGGGCACCCTGCCCGCAGGTCATGGTGCTGGATGATGCCAACAGCCAGCACTGAGACCTGTAGGTCTCTGCCTCCAAGGAGAGCCTCTGCATAGCAGGACAGTTTTTAGGGGCAGGGGTGAGCCTCAAAACACATCTCTGCTGCACCCTGGGGAAACTGTTGGATGGAGCACCTCGCTGGGGAAGGACAGCACAAGCCTCACCAGGGCCCATCTCTACAGGGGAGCTTCCACCCCCAGACACAGCACTCTGCTCATCGCAATTCACTCCCCTCATACAAAGAAAACCAGCAACAAGACTTCTCCCTTTCACTTAAGCACTTAAGTGACCAACGCGGTCATAAAAGGCAACTGTTGTTCTGGCACAGCATGACCCCAAGCTGTCCACTCAGAGGAGGCATAGGCAAACCTGGGAGGCGCCGAGGACAAGGAGCTCCAAAAAGCTCTGAGGAGCCACCACATTTGTCCTCTCCTAGCTGTGTACCGCAGGAAAGCCTGTAAAATAACAGCTTTGCACTTCACACCCCAAACAGCCAGGAAAGAACCCAAAAAGATGACAGCAAACATGAAGGTGTTGAGTCCTCCTCACACTCCGAAGCCTCGGACACCTGTATCTGGGACACAGCACCCTAAGGAACCAGCCCTCCCTCCTCATCCCTGGGGACGCAGGCTTCCAAAGACCAGGCCGGCTGAGATGGTTTCCCCACATTTATTGGAAAAGTGACATACAGCAACTGACTCAGAGAGCTCCTCGGGGCGTTTTGAAGTTCATCCCCACTGTGGGCTGTGTCACCTGCAGGTTGGACAGGCTGCCAAAGTCCTGGAAAACAGCACAGGATTGGGATCAGTTGGGGGCCCTGCCCTCCACCCATGCTTGACCCTGTCAAGGGCAGAGGCAGTTTCTTCCCTGCGGGAGTGGGATGCATGAAGGTGCTGTGTGGTAGCATGAAGGGTGGATGCACATCTCCATAAAGAAGGGGAGACGACCCCCCAACTCCAGAGATCAGCTCATCTGTGGGTGGAATCTGGTCTTTTTATGGGTGAACCCTCCACCCAAGCGAGAGCTGACGAGGAGGTTCTTGGGTCAGCACGCTAAGGTGCTGCAGGAGGAGGGGAGGACAAGGAGCACACCCACCCTGCTAGCGGGGTCCTGGGCAAAGCCCCTCCCCTCCCAACAGTGTACAGGAATTAATCCACCTGCAGGTCCCAGGGTGGAGGGACCACCCACCACATGCCCAGAGTGTTGAAGCCTTCATCTGACACCATCAAGCCCCTCAAGGCAGCAGGATCACTGCTAGGGACATGCCACCAGCCTGACAGGGTTACCCCAGGCAGGGGGACAGCTAGGGCTACTCACCAGGAGCTTCAGCATTTCCTTGGTGTCCGGGTCCACTTCGATGATCTCCTGGTCAAGGGCAGAGACCTGGGGACGGAGGAGAGACGGACGCAGTTTGACAAGGCCCCACAGCCATGTCCCTGCTACCACCGGGGTGTCCCCACACCCCCATTCTGGTCCCGTCCCACTGCAAACAAGACCTCACTGCCCATTATGGGGAAGGGCTCTAGCAACAGAATGAGCCAGGAGGACCCCGATGGGAGTCCAGCTCTCCTGCCAAAACATCGAGAGGCCATCAGCAACAGAGCCTCTTTTATGGCAAGTCTTTAGAAACCCAAGGCCTAACCAGCTCCATGCCAATGCTGCTGGGAGGAGCTGGGGTCAGGTCCACAACTGCACTGGTCCCACTGATCACCACCGACACTCACACTCATCCTGCAATGCGAGTCCCCAAGGCTGGAGCGCAACCACCGCGGTGCCAGACAGCAATGCCAAGTGACCACCTGGGTGGTCCCACCCCCAGGACCTGAGCAGAGCAACCTCCTCCAACCCTCTCTGGAACCCAACCCTTGATCTCTTGTGTGCTTCCTTCCCCAAGAGGCTACATCACACCAGTACTTTTGTAAGAAACTGTAAGTAACACGGGTTCAGCTAATGCTGCATAGACAGCCACAGCATGGACGCTCCTTCCCTGCTCGAGGTCCCTCCAGGAGTGACCTCTCCCACCAGCACTACCTCCTTCTGCCTTTGAAAGGCAGCTGGAAGGTCACTATGTGCAACACATGGACAGTCACCCCAGCTGGTTTCTCCAAGCCTCCAACACCAGCTGTGCCAGTCAGCACTGTTCTGACACCTGAAATCCAGGGCACTGAGGCACCTCTGAGAGGATCTGCATAGAGCTTCTGGTGTTTCACGTGTCATTTCTAGCTGTCAGGAGCAAGGGAGTCAAACTGAGCCCTGGTCTCTTGTGGGGACCTGTGTCACCTCACCTTGGGCTATGAAACCAAGAAGGCAAAGCAGGGGGGGTACTCCTGAGGCAGATCTCCAGTTGAGGGAGATGACACCAGCCCACCTTACTGCACTGCCACAGCTCCCGTAATATCCTACCACTGTACCTGTTCCTCCCAGATCATTGTTAAAATAACCTTCCACGTAACCAAACCCCAGCACTGACGATTTGGGAGAGCAAAGGTAACAGAAACAAGCATTTGTGTGCAGCACAGAAGCCAGCAGCTTTACCAGAAGCTGACTAGGGAGATCTGAAAGAGAGGCAACAAGTACCGTGCCTGAAAGCTACAGGGTTTGGGAGGGACGGGATCGAACCCACCAAACATTTTTGGAGGTCCTCTCCCTGCATTGTCAACGACCGAGTCATGGGTGAGACCTCAACCCCTTGTGAATGCAGGTTCAAGATCAGAGGGCGTTTCACCAATTCCCGCTCTTCAGTGACATCTGCTGTACAGCAGGTTTTAAGTCACTCTGAAATATCCTCCTGAAATATCCCGACAGTCCCATCAAGTTATATTTTTCCTAATTTTAAGTTAGGAAATTGAGGAGGGATATCATTCGCCGACTGGCAGCAGATTTGAAATGCAAAAAATCCTCCCACCCCAGGCAGCAGTTTTGGAAGGAGTGCCCCAATACGAGGCCAAAATCTGCCTCAGTCCTCCTTGACCCAAACCCTCCTCAGCTCCTCCTGGCTGAGGTTTTGGTTTGAAGAAATTTGGAGCCACTAATGGAGAAGACACTTTGAGGCAGGACAGACAGACACCGAAGCAGGCACTTGAGCGCAGGCAGAGCCTCACCTCGGGTACATAGTTATCCCTCCTCTCCCTCTCCTCCTCCTGCAGTTTGATGGAGATGCCTCGGACGGGTCCCCTCTGAATACGCTTCATCAGGTGGGTGACATACCTGCGGGGGACACAGGACCATCCAGGATTCCCTGACACTCCCAGAGCTCATGTCTCCCTTCTGCACCCTCGTGCTCCCAAAACTGAGGCAGGTTGAGGAGACGGAGGCCCCACCACCAACCCCGCTGTTGTCCCACCACCAACATCCCACCACCGACCCCGGCGATGTCCCACCACCTCCGAGGAACGTCCGGGACAGAGAAGTGTCCGACAGCAACAGGGTTTGGGAGGGAAGGGACGGACCGCCCCAAACACGGGAAAGCTTTCGGCGTTTCTCTCCCTGCACTATCGATGACCAGGCCACGGGCAAGACCGTGATCACTTTCGAATGCAGGTTGCGGCAGGAATACCCACCTGTGTCCAAACACCACGCACCGGACCCCCCCCGTGCCTCACCCCGCGATCTTGTTGCGCAGCTTCTTGCTGGGGATGATGGCGATCTCCTCGCACACCCGCTTGTTGGTGTGGAAGTCGTTCCCCAGGCGGGTGTAGTACTTCTCGATGATCACCCGGGCGGCCTTCTTC